TCTACACTCTTGGATATGCTGGCCAAACTGCCTTTCATGAGCCGTGGGCCTTAACATACATAGCTTCAGACATCTTTTGCAGACAGGTGGCCATCTCTGTCTTCAAAACTGCATCGCCCAGACCACTGCTCGTGGTTTCTGTACCACTTGCACTCGTTGCAGTTCTTCGCTGTGCACTTCGAGACATGCAAAGACGCAAGCATCTTTGAGCGAACGGCTACGGCTATTTCTTGCTCGTTGCAGACTCTCAATGCAAGTTGGTAGGCTTTGGAGGACGATATTGTAGTCTTTCGATACCTCTGCCTTGCGCTGACTAAACATGCAAGCGCCCAACGTCGGCCCCTGTAAATTACTCTGAGACCTCCCTAACCCCGTAGCCTCTTGAACCACAGGCAAGTTCAGCCAGCAAGCAATTCGCAGCTTGCGACAATGTGAGGAGCACAATCTCAGGCGGGCACCTTCTCAAAGATGCTCCGGACGCGACGTGACCATCGAGGGCGCGACACGTGACCAAGGTTTGCGGGGTAGCTCTGCTTCGATTCCAAGAAACATTGGAGTAGCATGTGTAATGGCTTCGGATTCGGAGCTGGAGACTTCCAAGTGCGCTCATGAAGATCTGTTGCCATTCAGTTGTACACTGCATCATGTTTCCCATAACAACGTAGGACATAACATCGTTAGGAATATAGTCTCGTATTTTGCGTGACGGACAGTATCACGCAATGGCAACATGCAAGCTGTACAGCTCGCCCCCTTTTTGTGCCCGTCCTGCCCCCCCCCCTCCCCGAATAGTATGGCAAAATACCAAACATCTGAAGCTTAACCCCAAAAAGTTTAAAGTTCGGCCGTAGGCTGACTAAGAAAAAGAGGTGAGCCGCATTCTCGCCGATGAATACGCTCCAACACCGTGGGCGCCCAGGAGCGTGAAATGCCGGCTATGCAAGTGCAAGCTAACTCTCGCAAAATGTTGTTGCCCGGCTCGTGGTTGAAGTTTCCAGTGACAACTCCCGTGGGCAACATTTCCTGGTCTCTGGCCCGGGGGCTTTGGATGATGTCGCCCAGCTTCTCAACCAAGCCGTCGGAGTCGGCAACAGTGTAACTCGGACGCTGCCACAGTGCGACCGTGAAGAATCCTCTGTGGTCGATGCAAACATGTTCGCTCTCTTCGTCTGCTTGTTGCTCCGCGAAAGCCACCGGCACGTCAGTCCGAGCAGCGAGGCGCACGATTGCCCCCTGTTGTCAACATTGCCAACTACTGTAGGACATCGGTGCGGAACATCTGATATGCCTGTAGTGTAGAGGTTACAGAATGCTTAATAGCACCAAAAAACAGTGAGCAATATTATAATGTGTTGCACGAGGCTATAAATTCTATATTGAAACTACATTGCCAAACAGTACTACGTTCTGTTTGCCGCCTGCACCGCATCAGCTGCAACGTGTTATGCTGTGTTGTGTGATGTTACATCGTGCTATGCTGTGCTATGTTATGCTGTGCGCGCTATGATATGCCCTGCCGTGCTACGCCATGCTTTACGTCATAGTTATGGTCTCGCAAGCTTTTGCAATTGACACGCTACAACGAGATTTTCATCGTTTTAAACATAAGCGGGTTATACCTACATGTATAGTCGTTGTGTTCACATTTTGCACTCTACCTCAAGCACTAAGCCCTCACAATCCGGGGGCCCAGGCAGCTCCGATGTCGCTTCCTTTGCGCTGAGGCCCACGAGGAGCCGCACCGCTGTGTCAGCTGAGAGACCTCTTTCATCGAGGACTTGCCGTGGCTTCTTGTTTGTGGGGGCCTAGGGCTTCTGTGTGGTTTTAGTTCTGGACGCTTTGTACAAGCGCTTTGTTTAGGCTGTTGTTACGAGTGCAGAAACGCTCGATTCGGGGCTCTCATACTTAGGGGATTGGATTTATGGGTATTTGGCGCAAGCCGATCAGAGGGGCTTGTGGCGCATTCGGACAGTTGTTCGGGTGATACTGGGATTCCATGCTTTTCGGGCTTTAAGGCCGGAGCAGTTTAGCTCTGGCGATGTGTGTTTGTCAGGCTTCGGCAAAACACCCACATACACCCGCCATGCTGGCTGTTGCATGTGAAAGATCATTTGGTTTGTGCAAGGGCCTAAGTTCTTGACTTGAACTGTCGGTGATGGAATTTACAAAGCTTCATCTGTGAATTCGCGCGACGGAACTCAACACACGGTGAATGTAATTTCGGAAGACGGCAACAACTTGCAAGATGGTATTAATCTGCACTGAAGCCCTGAGCCCTGAAGTTCAAGCGTCCCAATGCATTCGCAACAAAGCCTGCGAACTCTCCTGGATGCACCGCATGTCGAGTACCAAGACCTGCCACAGCATGTCATTCCCAGGCTAAACCCTTGCATGGACTGCTGACCCTTGCAAAAACTGCCTAACCTCACGGGACCGTACACCGCCTTCTCCGTTTAGGAGTGGGTTTGACAATCGGGCGTTTCAATGCAGCAAACGGAGAAAAGAAACAAGCATCTTCAACGCACAAACCAAACACACTCCAAACACCACCAAACTCCTGCAATATAAAAAACCCTCACACAGTCACCTTCCTGTAGGACTCGGCAGGGCAAATTTAGCTGCACCAAAGCCTTCGAAACTGATGCTTGCAGCTACAGAGGCTTTGATGGGGTATTGCGTTTTGCAAAGGAAGCTTGGCCGCGGCATTCGGTATGGAAGAACGTCGACATGGAAATGTGACATCGAAGGTGAATCTAACCTAGCGGGTTCACTTTCCGGGGTGGTTTTGCTGCTGTTTCTGTGTTCTTGCATGCCCCCTCTCCTTCAGTACTGTTTTTCCTGATTTGGAAAACACCGTCCTGCGTCAGGTTTTCGCACTTCTCCAGATGTTGCGCTCTTCGTAGCCGAGGGTTCTGTCTCATTTCCGCTGGCTTGTCAAACACACACGAAAACTCACGTGAGTTTTTGTCGTGCGTTTTTGGTTGCGACTTGGTCCGAAGCTCGAAAAGCGTGGCCTGCGTGTTGTATTCCTGACTTTCGGAAACCCTGTTTTCTGCTATCCAGCGCTGAACACTTTCTGTGTTCTTCTGTCTGTGCCGTTTTCCGTCATGTGCTCCACTAGAGGAAACGAACACGTAACGAGCGAAACGACAGCAGGAGGAGGACGTGGCCGCAGGCACGCGCACCCTCCCCCTGCTGGGCCAACCTACGAGCGGGCGAAGGGTTCAGGACGACTAGGGTAGGCCCTAAAGCCCTGAACCGTTACTCCCCGAAACCCTAAACGTGACATACCGTCTTGCACTGTTACTGTTAGTCATCACCAAGCAACCATCACCATGAGCAAGGTCACCACACATACTATCCAAAACCCTTACCAATAAAGTTTTTCCAAATACCTAAAAAGCCCGAACTCCGAAAAAACCGACACAAAACCACCCCGGAAAGTGAACCCGCAGGGGAATCTAAGGATTGGGGGCAATGAAGACTGCATGGGAAAAAACAAAACAACTAAGCACATGTGCATTCTGAATCGGAACCTTGGTGAATAAAACCACTTATGTACACGTCTGACCCCAAATAATTCACTAGGGAGTGTCACGTCGGCAGGAGTTGCTCCAGCCCAGCCCAAATGCAGATTTGTTCAAAGACTGGCAGTCCGGCGCGAGGACGGGACGTCGGGTTCAACGGCAGGCCATGTGCCGGTTTTCCTTGTCGGGATATGGAGCCCAGATTGTGTTTGTAGCAATAGCTGCACCATCGAAAACAACAAAAACACATAATGCCCGTTCTAAACAACACCAAGATGGTTCAGACCAACAACAAACCCAAGCATGACCATCGTGAAACTCCTCGGTCGCGTGCTCGCTATGCACGTTCATCTTCATCAGCAACAGCAAAGAGGAGAACCACGGCGAGAAAACAACAACAGCAACAACCGTTCAACAACCCGTGAAGCGACGCTGTCACCAAGATATGCGTTTATTGTTCGTAACGACCGAAAGAAACGGCAATGCAACCATGATATAATTTGCACATCAGTTCATGATAGCAGTCACGGCAAGGGGAAACATAAGGTGATAAAACAACCCAGATGACCAACGAATGTCATGCAACACGCCCGTGTTGCGAGCGCAACAACGGCCGGATGGCGTTTATCGGTCATGTTCATGATGTTGATGATGATAATAATGATGAACATCATCATCATCATCGACCTCGTCCTCATCATCACCATCATCATCCACAACAGTGAGTTCCCTCCTAAAACATCGGAAGGAGGGACTGTTGTGGCGCGTGCACTGCAGTAGTTTTGCAGGTTCTGAGGTAGTGATAACATGTGGTAATAACCAGCCACATCAGATCGTTCGCCACCTGTGAACTGTTATCCCGCACCGCTGTTCTAAAGACAACAAACACCAGCCCAGGTTTTAGAATAGAGTCTCCTTCTCCCCACAAGAAGAACAGCCCGGAACAGCAAGGAGGAGTACAAAGCATAGCCAAAACACCAAAACCAAAACAATGCATTTAGCCCTACCATGATGACAGCGAATCTTCCTCTACATCTGCTGACGCGATAACACCCCAACACGACGAGATTGCTCGGTTTCAGTGTTCATCAAATGTGCGGTCGCCGACGTCATGCATGCTGAGGCCCGCCATGATCGAAAGGAAACCAACGGAGCCAGCTTCGTCAAGAGGCTGCATGTGGGACACCGCAAGTCGACGGTGCAACGCAATGGCAGCCTCGGCAGCCGCGGAAAAGGGAAACCAGCTAATGCTTCGGCCTCAACTTCGATGGCTCGCACGGCTGATGATAGTGCCCTGAAATGTGTCAAATTTCACAAACTGCGCACATGCTATGCCGAGCCGGTCACAACATAAATGTTGAATTTGGACCATATTTGGCCCGTCCATCCCTCCCATCTGACTCCCAGTCCCTGCCTGCGGATATCGCTGCTCAGCGAGCAGAAGCCTGTCTCGTCTGAGCAACAAGAGAAGCGACGGCGTGTCCGCGATGAGCGACCAGGTGTGAAGCATAGGCCCGTACAGCGCAGCCTTCGGTGCAGCCAGCAGAAAACTGAACTGCAGTCGGCTTAAGTTTGTCTCTGTAGGTTCTTGCAGTCAGCTGGTACCACGTTGATGCACCAAAAGCTCTAAACACGAACTCGATGTGCAGTTATAGCAGCACACAGGCAATTTGCACAGCCACATCTTCATGGGACGGATGCACCCACAACCTCGCATAGAAGATCGCCCGCTGACACAGGCTTGCCGCGGCGTGCAACAGGCAGCCTTAGCAAACGTCGCAGCTTGTTAAACATTGGCAGTTAAGCGCAGGAGCTCCTGGTCAAACAGAGCAGGCACGCCGTCTGCGACAGTATTGGACAGCGTGAGATCGGGCAACGCAGAATCAAGGAGGAATCCCACAATGCAACCAGTTGTTGCCTTGCTGAATCGTATGGCAACGGAAAGGACTGAGGCACTGATCTGAAGTTTGTACAACATGGCTCAACTTGAGGTTGCGTGTGCTTGAAGTATGCACTCCTCAGCATAAAAGGTTCCAACGGCGGAAGAATGTCAGTGAGCGTCTGTCCGAAGATCCGCTTGATGTTGACATCCACGGCCACCTCTCCTCTGCGACAGGACACTCGATCCTCGAAGGAATGAGCTTCCTGAGACTTTTCGGCACGACGTCTGCGAGGGCCCGAGGAGTGGGACAGCAAGAAGAGCTGGCCGAACTTCTGTACTGTGCGTAGGAAGATAATCCCCAGCCCAGGGCAAGCTGCCGAGCTACAGTACTGTCTTGCTTGAACATAAAACCTCCGAACCCAATCTCTCAACGCATCAAGTTCCTGCCTGGCCCCAGCACGATACCGCGCTGGCTACCGTGCTGGATCTGCAACGCGCCACCAGCGACGACCTCGGACAGGCACGCAGATATGGAAACTGTGTCGTAAACTCTCATATGCGCTCGCGAGGACTATCCTCGTGAGATCATGGCTTGGGATGCATGTTTTTGCTCTTTTGCAGCCACGGCCACATAGAGACCTTCGGCCGCCAAGCCTTCGTGAAACACAACCTCCCTGGCTTTTACCTCACAAAGTGCACACGCATCTGCAGCAAGGCATGTTGAAGAATGCGGACAGGCACATGAGGTTGCTACGGCGCATTCGCATTGTGGAATAAGACTATGGTCCATGATCGCAAATCTGCGTATCAATTTCGAAGGAAATGTCACGGGCACGTCCACGAACAGCACAAAAGACATCGACGCTTGTCACTTGTCCCTCAATGGCTACTCCCGAGTTCGCCAAGCTTCCACATGCGACTTTGGTTTTCTGGTTCGTCTGTGCAGGGCTCTCCAACCCGGTCAAGCCGCAGGTAGCTGTTCCAGCAGATCCTCCAAGTCCTCCACTCGTAGGAAACGCGAACCGAGACAATCATCGAAGCAAAGCAACATGCAGCTCCCTGCAGTGCACTGCGATGCACAGCGTCTCCTGGAGACCAGGGCCCAAGGCCCGGGTGACGGCTGCAGAGACTGCGGAAGCATCAAGCCTGGCGTGATTGGGGCTCTGCAGTCGAACTTCGGAGTTGCGAGTTACATGGACACAGAAGGACTGGCGGGCCCAGCTGGTGCAACGTCAAACAGGGCAGAAGGGTGAGTGGACACTCTCGCTGCCACCAGCTGCCACACGTGTTTCTACTCGGCGTCTGCATAAGATGCTGCACGCTGCTATAGGCTTTGGAACTTGAGGGCTTCGGGCCTTTTAGGGACTGGTCCCCAGCCTTAGTTTATCCGGCGCAGGCAAGGACGGGTTGTTGCTGGGACGACCCAAGAGCTGCGAGTTCAGGTCCGTCGGGTTCACGTCCAGGTACCTGCTCAGGCGATGCGCGCGCGCGCCTCTTGCGCTTGAAACTGCGCTCATGGAAACTTCCTGCAGCCTCAAATTCTCGTGCCCGACGATTTGACGCAAAATATCGTGCCGAAGCCCAACAGCGGAATCCACCGGGGCACCTGAACTTCAAAACATGGTCCTCGCACCACTCCAAGGCTTCGTCGATGGACTGGAAGATGCAAACCGGAAGGCCTGGCAACTCTTTTCCCCCAGGCAACCCGAGTAACGTGGCTTCCTGACCCTGGAACCGACCGGCTGCTGCCATAGACGCCTTGACCACGGAGAGCCGTGGGTCTCGACAAAACCTCCTCACCTCCCACCTCCTTCCCTGCATGCAACACGTACGGCCTGCACTTCGGAGTTGCGTCTCCAGCTGCAGAGGCAGCCCTGGGCCGGAACGGATCCTAACTGCAACAGGCCGAAGAGTACCCGAAAATCCCTGGACCGCAGCTGGGATGATCCTCAATCAAGGCGACACACGGAATTTCAGAATCCCAAAGAGAAAAACAACCCCCAATGTCAGTAACCCAGAAAAAACAAGTAACCCCACGAAACCCAAAATTATATCCCCAACTCCCAAGACCCCCAAGACGAAGCACCCAAAAGTCAAAAAAACACGGCCTCAGAGCCTCCCAAACTTCCAGCGCCCAAGGCCGTCAGGGCGCCCACCGCGACGGTCTGGACGTGTGGCGGCAGCTTCCGAAAGCCCGCCAAAGCGGACGAGTCGATGGAGCCTCAAGCAGGGCTTCATATAGAGGCCTAAAGAGTTACCACCACTATTTCGGGGGTTCCTTATTCCGGTTCTAGTATATGCCCCAAGGCCCCTAGAATATTGGATTTAGGGTTGAGGGTTCTGCAAGGCGTTTGAGGCTTAGGGTGTTTACGGCTTACAGGGTTGATAGAGCTTATGTGGCTTTGTAGGGTTTTTGTCGGCTGCATCTTGTCCTCCGGCTTTCAGGGTTTAGGGAACCAGGGGTCCTTTAGAGGTGTAACAGGGAGTGCTCTAGGTCCCTATGCTGTCTTGTTTGGACATAGAAGCCAAGATGATTGGACTGACTGGGCTTAAAGAATCTTGCGGTTGCTACAAGTCAGACTATAAGGGTATCATAATCAAGAAATGTTTGCGAATCTTTCAAACCTCTGTGTACTTAGGTCTCTCTCTCTCTCTCTCTCTCCCTCTCTCCCTCTCTCCCTCTCCGGCTCTATGCATGTATGTATATTCAGACAGACACGCACACACACACACAGACAGACAAACACATAATATATATATATATATGATATATGATATGATATATATGTATACATATAGACCGGTCCCTTCCAAAGCATATGTAAGAATTCAAACGAGGGGCGGTTTGTGGTGTGGGTCTGGTGTCTGTGTCTCAAGTTCTTTGCTCCGCAAGACGAATCCGATTCAAGGGACAGCCTCAACAGGAAGACGCCTATCCTAAGCCCGGTCGTAGCAGGTCTAGGCCTGCCCTGCGTGCAATGTAATAAAGGGGGCGGACCCTCACAATTGTTGCGGGCTATACTATACTGCAGCCATGCTTTTTATTGAAACTGATTCAAGACAAGGCCGAAATTTGCATGGGAGACAAGAAGCGTAAGCTGGACAAGTCCAGCAAGAGGAAGCGACCCTCTTTCAGCCAAGGGCCGACCTCACTGAGTTCGTGATGTCAGATCGTTGCAAAGGCGCTTTGGGATCATCGTCTCATGAACCCCCAAAGACCTCAACAAAGACTTGCAACTTGTCAAGGAGCCTCCCCGAGAATGGCTGCGATGGAGCCGAAGAACAGCTGGCTGCAGAAGGTGCGAGCTACCACGATGCCTTGAAACCGGCGGATGCTGGTGGGCTCTTCTGCAAGCGTAGGCCCGGCTAAAGGTCCCCAACATGTAACACGATGCTCACTCGGGGGCCTTTCTGGTAACAAGGCCTATGCGTGGTGCTGATCTCAACCTGTTGATTCCAAAAGCTCGTGCCTGGAGAGGTCTTCAAATACCTCAGCTCAGCCGTAGCGAAGGTGCGCATTCTCTGGCTGAAATGTGAAGTGGATTTCATCCGTTCGCTTGGGAATGTCAGAAGATGAGCCAGCCGAGGTGCAAGCGGTCGTCGGCAGGGCGATAGCGGTTCGAAAACATGGCAGCCTCGCCTGCAGAAGAGGGCCGCCAGGTGCGACGCCCACAGTCAGAAACACCCTACTGGTATCACTACACGAACTTCGGCGTGTGCGCGTGTGTGTGTGTGTGTGTGTGTGTGCGCTCGCTACACCTTCAGCTGGCAGCACACACAGATAGAAGCTCATCAAGACTTCAAATGCGCACACTCTCCTTTGCTACATCTATCCTGTCTACACCATAGGTGCAAGGTCTTCGTGGTCTACATAGTATGCTGGGTTGAAGTTTTGGGGCCCTGAAAAGTATTGATGTGAATAGGTACGTCTATAGAAACCATAGGGGACATTTTACAAAGTTTCCCAAATTTTGCCACCCATCGTCGGACTCAAGGCCTGCAGTGGTGACGAACTCCAAGGGGCCGCTCTGTGAGTAGCGCAGCATGAAGTTGAAACCTTCCGTGTCTGGCGACGTGTTAGGAGAGGCTGTGGAGATGTGTTTTTTTGCGGGGTCTGTCTGGGCTGCTTTTGTATCCCAGAAGGGCTTCAAGGGATCTGGAGAACTGGGGGGCTTAGGAGCCATTGGGGGCCGGAGAGCTGCAGAGGGCCAAACCCACCAGAATCGCAGGCACAAGGTCTGTAGCCAGGTAGTAGAGCACCATGGCCTTCAGCTCTCGCTTACACAAGCAAAGCCGGAAACGCTGTCCCGCAGAGAGAGGACTTCGACATTCAGCACCCAGTGATTACCTTTCAGGCGCACTCTGCGTATTCTTCGTGGCTGTTGTTCCCGCAGAGGTCGCTGAGTAGATGGAAGCAACTATGAAAGTGGTCGTCGCAACCCTGTCTATAAGAACAAGAAATGCTTGCGGATATCGGCAAACATCGTGTGCCAAGGAGAAACGAGCATAAAGCATAACATGAGATCTTGGACGTCAGATTGCGAGGAGGGTGTTTCAGGATTAATGCATGCTCTATCTGCCTTGTGCTCTATCTACTTGACGTGGGGTCATACAAATCTTGAGATCATGCCCTTTGCCTTAACCTTTGGCTGCTGTCTCCGTCGTGGGTTCCGGTTGTTCTTTCGCTTCGTCGAGCAATTCATTACCAACCCCGGCTACATAAATGATTGTATCTTTTGCTCCCAGTATTAATGTTCCCTTGTGGTCAACATTGTCCCGACGATTGTTACGCCTGCGCAACTAAAGAACACGACCAAGCTCAAATGAAACAACAGTGAAAAGAATGAACTCACAAGTCTGAACTAAAATGTGACACCACTTTCGATTATCGCACATACTATCAACTCAACACCTGGTCCCTGCACTAGGCACATGGCCAGGATGATAGCGTAGTCCCCGAGAGACAGCCTGGCCAAACACCATTCTTGCGCACGTCAAACCGCTGCGGGCAAGTACGTACTCCAGTGGCAGCAGTAGCAGCTATCATATCTATCATCCCGGTTGCAGATGAGCTGCAGCGCCCTCGGTTCCCACAGACCATCCAGTATGTAGCCAAAGGCCAGGTGGCAAAGCATGCCTGGCGCAGCGCGTGTGAACGTTCGTTCTGAGCCACCCCTGAAAGCCGCCAAAAACGAATCTATAGGTATCATAGTCATAATCAGAATACAGCAAGACAGCGCGTTCTCCGAAGCATTGCAGTGCGCGGGCATGTGCCGGGGGTCCTCCAACCACGAACTTTGGCACAGCGGCGGTGAGCGCTGGCCCGAGCCAGATCCTGACTCACGAGGGCAACTCATGAAGTCTCCCCAAACGATCCCAAACGCCAGCTTACTTCGAGGACTCTAGGACGTTGGGACGACCTTGGCGTGTTGTTGACAGAATCTCGTTTGCGTCCGAGCATCCAAACTACGCAAAGTGCAGCGGAAATGAGCCCAGTTTCACGTCCGGTACCACCGGCATCCACATTCCTTGGCTTTTGAGCAAAATGGTGGAAGGAGAGCCTGAAGCGAGGGCAAAGTGCGTGAGACTTCCAGCAGCTCGAAATGCTCAGGTGGGGCAAAAATAGCTCAATATAGCTCAATAGCTTCCCAGCGACACTTGCGCAAGGCCAAGGCAGAAACGCAAACAAGCAGAGCTCAACACGCTTTCGAAACCTCTTGAGCTGATTGCTCGAGAGTGCTTTGCGACGGCCCTGCAATTAGTGTAGGAGGCGGCCGGGGGTGGCGAGTCAAGACCGGACTGTTCTTGAGCGCACCTTGTCCTCAGTTGGGGCTAAGCATCAGCCGTGTAGGTGACAGCGACACATACGAGACGCTGCCGAAGACAGCTCCCGCCAGCGAAGAGCAGCCAGCAATGCGAAACCTGCCACGCTGTGAATTGGTGTGGACAAGCTCAATGTGGAAGCCTTAACAGCCTCATTCCAGCCATGACTGCATGCCAAGCCTGCCAGGAAAACATCAACCAATGACCTGAAACCAACACCCAAGGATGCCTTAGGACCGTCACCCTCGAGTAGCAGACAAGCTGCTCGTCATCCATCTTGATCGATTTCGTTGGTGTCATCAGTTCAAGGGGAAGCAGCGTGGTCATCAAGTCCACGACAAGCATAACCACCCTTAGCAACGGCGCTATCAATGTGTCGAACTGAACCTGCGTGCGTGCCTGTGCCTGGGACTCCGTGTCCTGAACCGACTAAAGCACAGTGTTTCTCTGAATCTTGTGCCAAATCTGCACAACGGCCATGCTGATCCCGACGGACCGAGACATTGAGTCCAAGTTTAAGTTTAAAAAATCGCTCTCGCATCGTGGCAGGGAGCGTCAGGCTGCTGTACAAATTCTCCGTGCAATACAACCCCTGGTGCGGCGATGGCACCGGCAAACACTCCCTATTTGGGCCACAGCGCTACTGCCAGGAAAACGATTTCTGAGGAGCCAGGCTGATTCATTGAGGTTTCGAGTCAAGGACATACGGCTTACATAGCAATCTGCATGGCAAAAAACAAGAAAGAACGAGTAGCCTGTAAGCATGAAAAGCCATGAGCCTGAACACCAGTATTCCTGCTCAAATCGTTATTATTATGGTAGTAGTCGTCGTCGTAGTAGTTTTAGAGCAGTAGCAGTAGCAGTAGCAGGAGTAGGAGTAGGAGTAGGAGTAGTAGGAGTAGGAGTAGTAGTGGTAGTAGTAGTAGCAGTAGTAGCAGTAGCAGTAGTAGTAGTAGTAGTAGTAGTAGTAGTAGGAGCAGCAGCTGTAGTAGCAGTAGTTGTCGTCGCCGTGGTGCTGGTGGTAGTGGTAGTGACGATAGTTCAATTCCGAGGCTTGGGGCCCTGGCCAAGCTGGCGAGGCCGGGAAGCGACATCAGAGACCGGTTGCTGCCTGGAAGCACTTCGAAGATCTTGTCAGCTTCCGGATGTTGCTTTGAACATGGAGGGTCTGGGCTGCTAGGGTTTAGGGTGGGTGTGGGGCTGGGGATGGGGATTCTAGTGAGCCAATACACACGATTCCTGCCTGCGATGTACACGGGCATCGACTATTCAGGCTATTTGGTTCCAGGGGTTGGCAGCAGAGGGACTCTTTAAGCCGCCATGAATATAACAGCCTTCTGTGCATGTGCCCCAGGGGGTTCCGTCATCTTCCATCTCTCAGGGAAAACTTTTGAAGGGAGTTTAGAGATGAGCTGTCGAGGAGTTTAGGGCTGAATTACGGCTCAGGCGAGAGCTTGGGGGCGAGTCCCCAGCAGAACAGTGATATTCATTCTGGACAGTTGCCATAGTCAGCGCTGAGCATAGCAAGCAACTTGCAGCTAAGCGCAACCTTTATTCAGAGATCCTGCGCTAGTGGCCTACATTCTGTCGGACTGCCAAACGGCGCAAGTCCTGAAAATGAAACACCAGTACCTGCATACCTTGGCATGCTCGAGTGGCCAAGGATAAGTCTCGAACATCGCTCGAACTTAGATTCCCTGTCATGTCAAGCTGCAAAGAGCATCAAGAGAGCCCATTTCCCTAGATCTAAGGAAAACATGCGGCTATCTGGGCACCGGGAGCCCCGGCAGGCTCATTGCAGCACAGAATTCAGATTCGGGGCCTTTGGAGCTCCCAGAATACTCGACAATAATCCAGGCAAAACAACCCTGTGCTTCTGCCCACTCTGCGGCTAAATGTACATGACAGGTGCTCAGCACCCGGCTGTTGCAAGCGCCCTGTGGCATAGGGCTTTGGGCGTTTCAGGATGGGAAACCGGTTTAGTTTGCATCCACAAACAGCGAGTCGGGAGTTGATCTTGGGTTCCTAAAGCCCACGGTCCCAAGTTCGGTGCCTCGAGTCTGGGATTCGTCTAGGTGTAATTGGGACCTTGGGGTGCTCTCGTCACCTGGGTTTAGAGCTCCGGAATCTTCAAACCCACCTGGTGGGATCTGGTGGGATTGCTACAGCAAAAGGTGCCGAAAGGACAACAAATACCTACGAAGGCCCGAAAACCCCAGATTTTCTCCTAAACCCCAAACCCTAAACCCAACACCCCCTCAGACCTCTGCGATCTCCAGCTGGTTGTCCGAAGAGAGGCCAAGCCCCGCCACGGCCTGTGGTGTGGCTTCGGGTGACTTGTCTTCAGGGCAATGCTCTGAGTCAAGAAGGGTTTATTACAGGCCTGAAGCATCGCAGGCGAACGTCAAAATCGGAGATGTTTAACTGGCGTATCTTGCAGCTTCAGAACTTCTTTGACTTTGGGGGGGGGGGGGGGGGGGNNAAGGTTTCACACAAAGGATACCTCCTAATCCATCTAGAGGTTTACATGAGTGTCCCCGATATTCTGAATTTGCCTATATCAACATGCCGAATTGGAAGTCTTTGCAGGGGCACACCAAAAAACGCACTGATGCGTAGAAAAACAACCCGAGCTGCGTAGTGCAATATGTATAGATCATGCACCCAAAGTTCGAAAGAAAGAGCTAAACACCCTCTTCTGAGCCTTCTGAGGACTGTAGAGTGAGTTTCCGGGGCCATAACAACATAGCAGATATAGCAGGTTCAGCGAGTCTTCGGGTCGGGTGATACATAGGAACCCTCTATGAACGCCGGGGCGAAGGCGATCTCGCAGGGGAAGCCCACCCAACACCTGGTGAGGCCAGCGAGAGGAATTCAGGGTGCGGAGCTGGGACTCCGGATGTAAGGTTCCAGAAACGCAAAGTTGAAACTAGAGGCTGGACGGTGTTCATTCAATTTCGTGTGGAATCCAGTCTCTGAGCCGTGGTGGAGGGCCAACCACTTCCGGAACACAAACACCAACTTGCAAGACCTGCAAACAGAAAGGGTCGTACGGCTTGGTTCTTCAGGGATTCAGGGCGTGAAGGTGTAGTACGGTCCTGGCTTGGGGTCTTGTAGGGTTTAGCTATTCAGGGCGGTCATGGTTTTGGGGTCTTTGAGGGTTGGCGGTTTAGGATCTGGCCTGGGGTCGATCACCTAAGGCGCCCTCCGTGAGATAGAATATAAGCTTCGGGTTCGGCATCGCGCAAGGCTGCAGAGTGTGGTAGAGACAGCTTCGAAGGTGTGAGGAAGCAGTTTCGCCTTCTACACTTTTTGTTTTTGGATTGAGATTCAGGATTTAGGGGACTCTGGACCCTAAACCCTAAACAGGGTTTCCCTTGTCCCAGCCTGAAGACGAAAGGCCCGTCCGCGTTGAGGTACGGCCCATTCATGACCAGGGTGCCTGTGTGAATCACCTCAAAGCCACATTGACATGGACTTTTGACATGGACTTTTGGGTTTGCCTGGCGTTCGGTTGCGCAGATTTTGGGATTGAGCTGAGGAGCTTCAGGTGCAGCATCACCGCAAACTAAATTACATCCTGAAACCGCCTCATGACTCATGAACCTGTTTCTTGACGTCCTGGAAAGGAAAACCAGATAAACCCAACATGCTAAAACAATGCTAGGAATGCAAAGCGACATTGAAATCAAGAGTCCAAATTGTTAAACCCCTACGTCCAAAGCTCTTCACCCCACACCCACCAAAGGCCCTCCACCACCAGGGGCCCAGCGAAGGACTCTGTGCCCGGAGAGCTCTGCACCGGTGACCAACCTTAGGCTGCGATGGACTTGGTGTTTAAACTAGAAGCCAGAAAGTTGGAACATCATGATCCTCATGCCCTTAAGGTGAAGTATATGGTATCCTAGCGCCAATCATCCTAAATCCATGTTCCAAGTTTTTGGGCTTCACACTAGAGCTTCGGATCTAGGAGGCTCGCCCGGTCCATCCCTCACCCCATTCCCGGTAGCAACCTGGTGCCTGCTGAGCTCGGGACAAAGTTGGTACGTGCCAACCTGCAGTGAGGGATGTGGGGGTGTTGTAGAACAATCGTAGCAGCTGTTCAAGGCTTCGGGCTTGCGGGTGTTGGGGGCTGATCTCTTTTATCGGGATCTGCTTCAAGGGGTGGCTCTTTCGGTGCGGGTGCTCTTTGAAGCTCCGCAACTACAAGCCTTCTGCCTTTGAGCTACAGAACGCGATGAGTCTATGTTGGGAGCTCTCGGAGCCTAGCGTCTAAGGAAGGCTGGGGGTCTTCAGGGGCGTAGGGTTAGGGTTTAGGGTTTAGGGTTTAGGGTTTAGGGTTTAGGGTTTAGGGTTTAGGGTTTAGGGTTTAGGGTTTAGGGTTTAGGGTTTAGGGTCGTTTCTGGAAGTCCCAACTAGCTGCTAGCATAGGAGTGGCAGCGCCAACTGTGGATGATCTTGATATAGGTGCCTTAAGAATCAGCATAGGGTTTTGGGGCCCATTATACTATAAATAGAATAAGGAACCCTAAACCCTAAACCCCAAAAGAGTATGGGTAGTTATACTTAGGCCCCTAGAGTATCCCTGCGCATCCGAGAATCCCATCCTGCCGGATCGCCACCTCCTGTTTCTGTTGCAACTCCACGGCTTTCCAAAAGGAGCAACTATCATATAGGGGCCTTAATACTTTGAATCGGGCTTTGGGGCATAGTATGATATAATCATACTATAATCATTGAACCATTATAAGGAACCCCTGACATAGTATAGGTAATTATTATGGGCCTCTATATATCAAGACTACCTGACCCCTCCCGCCTAGACCTATACAGTCAAACACTAAGCACAAAAGCCAAACGCCCTACAACTTATGATGTCTGAATCCTAACTGGGAGCCCTAAACCCTAAACCCTAAACCCTAAACCCAAAACCCAAAACCCTAAACCCAAAACCCAAAACCCAAAACCCTAAACCCTAAACCCTAAACCCGGTTTACTCCAAGAATGCGAGACCTCCCCAGTCCCCAGTAATTCTCCGATGATCTCTGACGGTAAAGAGGCAGCTCTGTTAACAATCGGGTGCCACCAAATTCAACGGGGGATAGAGACCACTAAATCCTAAAGCCCTAAACCCTGAGCCCGACTCAAGTCCGTTCTGCAAAAAACGCCGATCAACATCCTATCACAACTCCATGAAAACACGCCTAAACCCCAAACCCTAAATCCTATCACAACTCCATGAAAACACACCTAAACCCTAAACCCCAAACCCTAAATCCTATCACAACTCCATGAAAACACACCTAAACCCTAGACCCTAAACTCCAAATCCTATCACAACTCCATGAAAAG